GTCTGTGTCCCATGTCAGCCCCCCGTCCCACCTCCCATGTGCCCCCCATTGCCCTTAGCACACCCTCCTGCCCTGCCTCCCCTCGCCTGCGGTGGCCCCCCTGCACCGTCTTCCTGGCCCATCCCCTATTGTTCTGGGACTCCCTCCTCTGCCCCCCCTCACAGTGGGAACCCCCAGACCTATCCTGGTTCTCCACTATGGGGGATGACCCCCCTTTTCCTGCACCCTGTTGTCACTCTGGCTCTGATAGGCAGTACTAGGGATGTAAAAATGTGTTTATTCCAGTAAATATGTAACCGCTGAACATTTCAGTGGTTACACACAGGAAGGGGGTGCAGGTGGCTTCCCAAGAATGGGTATGCACAAGGAGCCGGCTTTTAAGCCAGCTCCCTACAAGCACCGGCTCCTGCCTGGCCCTGTCCTCCCTCACTACTGCCCCGATACAGAGGCAGCAGGTGGGAAACAGGAGGAGGGGGGCTGCAAGTAACTGTGCATATTAACCAATGAGCCCAGGCTCATTGGTTAACCATGTACATGCTTACACTTTCAGCTCCCTACCCAAGCCCCCTCTCCTCCTCCCCAGGCCTCCTGTCCTGTCCCTGCATACCACAAGCGTGTGCTGCAAATTTGACACCAGCAGTTTAGGATTAAACAGAGACTGTGAATGGCTAGCCAACTACAAAAGCAGTTTCTCTTCTCTTGGTGTTCACGCCTCCACATCAGCTGCTAAAAGTGGGCCACGTCCTCCCTGCTGACTGAATTGACCTCTCGTTGTCTCTAGACTTACTCTTGATTGGTGTATTTATATTTATACCTGCCTCTGGAATTTCCACTACATGCATCTGATGAAGTGGGTCTTTGCCCACGAAAGCTTAGGCTCCAATAAATGTTAGTCTATAAGGTGCCACAGGACTCCTCATCGCTTTTGCAGATTCAGACTAACACGGCTACTCCTCTGAGACATGGGCTAGTGGTTCTCAAACTAGTTCTTTAAAAATAGCTGCGTAAAGCTTTCAAGTTGGGGCCCTGGACTCTGAAGCCTGGGGGTGGAGGTGGGCCTCAGAGCCCCCAAGTTCCAGCCTGAGATGTCACTTTAAAGCACTGTCTATATATGCAGATATTTTTCGGGCACTGCTAGCCAGAGCCTGTTGACTTGGGTTGGGAGACTTGCTCCAAATGCTATGTAGACATACCCCAAGTGGGAAGAAGGCAACAAATCCTGATATTTATTTTCATGCTATGAATGAGGGAGGCACTTTCTCACCGATTATCAGAGGGCAGGAGAGTCTCTCCTTGTTTATGTGCCTGAGTCGTGGAAGAGCTACCAAGGCCTTTTTACCAGACTCTTCCCATGCAGTGCACAGTATAGAACTCTTGCTAGGTAAGTCCATATTGGTGTGTTTCTTGCTAGCTCGGATAAGCAACAATGAGATGCACCCATAATCCCTTTGAGACAGGGTTTGTCTCTCTTGCTGGACAGGCCCAATCCTGGGTACCATGATATAAATATTTATTATTATCATGTTGCTTCTTTTCAACCTGAGCTGCTAGTGAAAGTTTGGGGCCCGGGGAATGTTCCATTCGGGAGTAGAATAGGAGCTAGGTATTTCTTTGATGGAGCTTTGTTTGTTCACAAAGAATGTACTAAGTCCTATGCCTCTGAATGCAGAAGGAATCAGGTAGTAGACACAGTTGCTTTTGTTCACGGTACCAAGAACACTCTCTCAGTCTGTAGCCCTGACCTAAAAACCCCTTCCAGGTCTCTTGCAGGCTCAGACACACTGCTTTCAACTGCTCCTTCTAGCTCTGTCACTCCCAGTTTTTCTCTTCCCAGTTTCTCTGTGTTCTGCTTCCCCCGCCTCACAAACACAAAGCAGTACTTGGCAAAATCCCTCGGATCCACTCAGCCCAAGATGTCTTGGGCAGGTTCACAGCCCCCTTTGGTGATTAATTTACCCAGCGATTATGTTAATGGCAGGGTGTATTCACACCCAGGCTCACAGAGGTGAGATCCAAGGAGTAACCAGTATCTCTCAGCAGAATAATCTATGACCTGGTTTTTTTCCCTCTTAGGAAAAGATTCGGGTTCTCTCCAGACAGCAACACATGCAGCTCTGCTCGAAACCTTAAACTCCAACTTGGCTGCGTTAGAGGAGAAGCTGGGGCAGGATCTGCAGTGGAACGAGCTGCGAAGCTTGCGAGCTGAAGTCGGAGAGCAGGCTGCGTGGCTGGAAAGCTCCACCGATGTGACCTGGCATTTTACTTCCCAAGTCCTGCTGTTACTGCTGTGCCTGAAAAAGTGCATGAGCCTCCTCGCTGCTGCTTGCCAGCCAGCCAAGCCTAACCCGAGGACGGCCGAAGCTGCTCCGCCGCTCAGTCCTGACACACTCAGTATCTCCCAGCAGAAGACTGTTCAGTCGGCTTTGCAGTTTGTGGTTACCTTGGGCCTCTGTCCCTACCTCTTACCGGGGGTTGGAGTCCCGCTGAAGCACAGGACAGAGTTCAGCGCCGTTGTTCGAGATGTGGTATCTCCCGACGCTGCCCCCTGTGCTACGCACAGGCTCTATGCCAGCTGCACTGCTTTGGTGCAGATTGCCCAGCACCCCGCTTTGGGCAGCCTCATCCTTACCCGCCACCTTGGGGATCTCATAGCAGGTCTGTGCCAGCTAGGTTTCTGCCCGGCGAAAGGAAAGGCTGAGCAAGCCAGGCTGCTGCAGGTTTGTGTTTGGATTAGAGTTTTGCATATAGGCCCCATCCCATAGTTCTCACGGCCCCAGAAAGAGAGAAGCTATCTGGAAGGAATACGCTTCCGTCTCCATGCTCCGGGGGGCCCAAGTCCAGGAACACCTATGGAGTGGAGGAGGAAGAGGCTGCGTGTTGCCACATCTCTCCCCCACAGTTGGGGGAACGGCAGAGCTGCTTCCCTGAGGCTTTTCCCTGCCGCTCCCAAAGTGCTGGCATGGCGGTGCTTGTGCCTGGGAGTAGCACGGAGCCATGCATGCCCATGGGAGCAGAGTATGGGTCCCACCCCCTGAAGCCCAGAGCCCACAGCGCCCTCCTTGGCTTGGCAAAATCTTTAAATCCCTGTTTTCCAGGGATGCCAGATTAAAGAGGGCCTTGTGCTTTAAGGTCTCAGAGGGGTAGCTTATTAGTCTGTAACTTAAGAAACAAGTAGTCCTATGGCACCTTGGAGGTTAACAAATCCGAGCATGTGGTGTGGTGCACATGGCTGCCTGGCAGAACCATGGCAGCAAGGGCTGTCCAGCAGGAGGTGGAGAGTTGGTGGTGGCGGGGGGCAGTGGCTGGGCCAGTAGCAGGAATCCAAAAATGACCTCCCTCGGTCCAGCAAAATCTCTCATCCGGGGCCAGTCAGGTCCAACCTGTAGTATCATGAGCTTTCATGGGCAAAACCCACTTCTTCAGGTGAGCTTGAATGGAGGAAAAAGTGTGTGAGGGGGTACCTGTTAATTGTAGTGCTGGTGCTAATGAGGCTAATTGAGTGCGTGGGAAGTGTCCCATATGTAGCTTTTGATGTTAGTGGGATGTTGAATGTGAGGAAAACTGGTTTTATAATTGGCCATCCAGTTCAAGTCTTTGTTCAAGCCAAGGGAAACAGTGTCAAATTTGCACATGAAATTTAATTTCACATCCCTCTCTGTAGTTGGCTTGTGAAATTCCTTTGTAGAAAAATGGCTCCTTTTAAATCTTTTAATGAGTGCCCAGGCAGGGTTGTGCTTCCACATTTCTCACTGTTAGGGATCGGCATGAGACTTTCCTGGAGGAGCAGATTAGCCCATATCTGCCTTCTTGTAGCTCAGGGCTACTCAACTTTGGAAGCCCCAGGTGCCACAATGATACTCACAGCCCATGCCGAGGGCTGACACTTAAGTGTGGTTGCATAGACATGCAAATATATATTCGGGGGGGAGGGATAGCTCGGTGGTTTGAGCATTGGCCTGCTAAACCCAGGGGTGCGAGTTCAGTCCTTGAGGGGGCCACTTAGGGATGTGGGGCAGATCTGTCAGGGATGGTACTTGGCCCTGCCGTGAGGGCAGGGACTGGACTCGGTGACCTCTCAAGGTCCCTTCCTGTTCTAGGAGAGAGGTATATCTCCATATGCAAATAGCTTCTTTCACACTGGGCATGAATACAAAAATTAAGCCTTAAGCCACGGCGGCTGGACTCAAACGTGGCCAGCGTGAGCCAGTTGGCACCTCTCAGGCTCTTCCCACAAGGCTAAGCAAGGCTAAGCAGCCAGTGCTTCCCACAATGCCCCAGTGCTCCCAGCACCTCCTCCCTGGGGGCTAGAGACACTGACACCCTGTACCCATCTGTTCCAGCTAGCCTGCCTGCTTGCCTCTTTCAGTGCTCACCCCACCTGGGAGATACCTCATTGTTGAGGAGGGTATACCCCATGGAGGCCATGTTCAAAGGATCCCACCTATGGCCACATGTTGAGCCCACATAAACCCAAACTGCACCGTGGGCCACAAACAAACAGGCCACATGCAGCCCACGGTCCACATGTTGAGTAGCCCTGGTGTAGTGTCTTGCACTTTCCTTTGAAGCAGCAAGTACCAGCAACTGTCCTAGACAGGGTACTGGACTAGCTAAACCCCAGAGCTGATCCTGCCAAAAGGACACGAGGTGGACCGGGGTGGGGCAGGGGATAGTGCCAGAGGAGATGACTAGAACAGGACACTTGATGGAGTGATCAGTCTGTTGTTGTCCAGTCCCAACATTTGGCAGGCAGAGGCTTAGGAACACTCAGCCAATGGCCAGGGATGCAGCCCCATGCTAATAGCCATGGTTGGATCCAATCTCCATGAATTTATCTCAGTCTTTTTTGAAGCCAGTTATAATATTGGCCTCCCCTGGCAAGGAGTTCTAGAGGCTGACGGGAGTGTGTGAAGAAGTGCTTCGCTTTAAACCGGCTGCCTGTTAATTTCATCGAGTGATTCCTAGTTCTTGTGTGATGGGAAGAGAGAAATGACACTTTTGAATTTATTTTCTCTACGTTCAAGATTTTTTAGATCTCTGTCAAATCCCCCTTTGTCTCTTTTTCTAAGCTGGACAGTTCTAGTCTTTTCATCTTTTCTGACAGGAAAGCTGTTCCATACCCCGAAGAATGTGTGTTGCCCTTCTCTGTACAGTTTGAGACATCCTGGTGTAGCTATTCCATACCCACCAGGGTGCTTCACAGCTGGTGTCCTATAAGCTGCTAATGGTCCAGTAGAGGGAGCCAGAACCTAGCAAAATACCTTACGCTGCTGTACTGCTGCCTGTGTTGCGTTAATATTTCAGCCCAGGGACCTGTTATTTTTCAGAGCCTTACCGAAGAGAAGCGAGCCCGCTGCAGAGAGGCCTTGCAGAGCGTCTTGGATCGAGTCTACCAACCTCTAGTAGTCCGGGAACTGCTTGTCCTTCAGGGTGGATCTAAACAGGTACACGGGCTGCCCGCTGGTTCTGTGGCTGGTGCAGGCATATCTGACTCAGGAGGCTGTCTCCAGTGCCTGCCCCTTCCAGCGGTACAGGAGCTGGAATGTGACATTCTAGAGCAGGGGTGGGCAATAATTTTTAATGGGGGGGCCAATCCAAGAATTTGGTAAGTGGTCAAGGGCTGCAGTCTTCCATGTTGTCAATGGAGGAGGTGCAGAGACTGGGATGGTGGTTGGATGCAGAAGGGAGCTCAGGGTAGAGGACTGGGATGCAGTAAGGGGTGTCGGGTCTGGGAGGGAGTTTAGGTGAAAGAGGGAGTGTGACTTGGGGCAGGGTATTGGGGTGCAGGAGGGAGTGCAGGGACCAGGAGGGGGTATGGGTGCAGGAGAACATTCTGACCTGGGGGGCAGGTGCAGGAGGGAGTTCAGGGGCCAGGAGGGGGTATGGGTGCAGGAGAACATTCTGACCTGGGGGGCAGGTGCAGGAGGGAGTTCAGGGGCCAGGAGGGGGTATGGGTGCAGGAGAACATTCTGACCTGGGGGGGCGGGTGCAGGAGGGAGTGCAAAGCCCAGGAGGGGGTTGTGACCTGAAGGAGGAGTGCAGGACGGGGTGCAGGGATTTGGGTTGTGACCAGGGGGTAAGGGATTGAGGTGCAAGGTCTGAGAGGGGGTATCGGTGCAGTAGTAGGGGTGCAGAGAGTTTGGGCTACAGGGGGACAGAGGGGTGGGAGAAGGGAGGGGCTGGAGTGTCAGAGGCAGGCTCTGGCTGGGAGGTGCTTACCTGGGTGGCTCCTGGCCAGCAGCCCAGAAGGTCCCTCAGGCAGGCTCCCTTCCTTTCATGCCTTCACATGCCACTCAGAGCAACTGGCTGCAGGGCTGTGTGGTTCTCTGAATGCGGCAAGCCTAGGCGGAGGGGAGGCAGGGGTAATTTGTGAGCTGCCTGTTCTGCATATAGGCAGCTCCCATTGGCCTGAAACCAGCCAATGGGAGCTGCGCAATTGTGCGGGGAGCAGGGGCAGCCTGTGAAGCTGCCCCTCCCTCCCACCCTTTCCCGGGCTTGCAGTGTTCAGAGAAGCCCATGGCCTAGCAGCCGGCTGCTCTGAGCAGTGTATGGGAGCCTGCCTGAGGTCCCCGCTGGGCTGGTGGCTTGGTGGGCCGGATCCTGCATTTTGCCCACCCCTATGCTAGTTCCTAGCTACCTTCCAACCGGTGGGATGAAGACAAGGGGCTTGGAATTTGCAGCAGGGACTTGCATTTGGAAGCTTTATTTTTACCCAAGCTACATACTAAGAGTCAACCTGCTTTCTTGAAAAGAGAATGGAAGCTCACAAGTTCTTTTCCTAGCAAGGATGGTGCCCTGGGTGCTATGTGGCTTCACCAAACACAATGAATTTGGCCCGTGGTGGCTAGTTGGTTTGCTTCCTGACAAACCAGCTGAATTCATACCAAATACGCTCTGATGCCTACTTCCTCCACTCGAGTGCGCTCTGCTCTTTGTCCTGGAAACTTGGCTGTTACCAGTAATGAATAATGCAAAAATATGCTAATACAACATTATGGATTAGAATATAAATGCACAAAAATCAGCAGAATTATGGCTCCTACGGCATCAGTGACCTTGCTACATTGAACATAAATATTTATGGCACAGAATAATAATAAACCCCCTACGTGTGATGCATGCAGTTTAGCAGAGTTGCTGTGAGAGCCATAACTGGGAATATGTTAATTTTTGTGCATTTACACTTGTAGCAAGGATGCCGAGCTTGTCCGTTCCACAAACTGACTGTAGCACCACACTTTCTTCTTTGCAAAACACAGTTGTCCAGTGAAACACCTTGTATGCATTGGGTGCACTATCAATGGCAAATAGACATTTCCGGCGAGGCTGTGTTTGTTGTAGGGGTGTTAAAAAGTGGTTAATTAGGCAACCGTAGTAACTGCTGAAAATCGTAATGGTTCCACGCTGCAGTTCCTGCAGTATACAGGTTAGACTGCAAAGCCTGCAGTGCAGCCGGCTTCCTGGGAACAGGTCCGGCAGCCAGTGCACACCAGGACCTGGCTCCCGGCTGCCAGCCCCACTCCTGGGGAGCCAGCTGCACTCTGGGTTCTGCAGGATTAGCTTTCTACTGCAGAGTCTGCAGCGTGGGGGGCAGCCAGCTCCTCAGGAGTTGGTGCATGCTGGAAGCTGGCTTTTAAACAGCTCCCGCCTGCTGGTCCCACTCCTGGAGAGCTGGCAGCCAAACCCAAGCTGCTGCCTCTGATACAGAGGCAGCAGCACAAGGTGGCAGCTAGCAGTCCTGCTCCCGGCCCCACTCCCAGGGAGCCGGTTGCCGTCCTGCGCTGCAGGCTCGGATACAAAGCCAGCAGCACAGGGTGGCAGGCGGGGCCAGGACCTGGGGCGTAACTAATATGCTCAGGGTTATCAGTTAACCATTTCTACTGTTATACTATTACGTCCCTAGTTCATTGGATTGGTTGCTTTGCCCTAGATCTCCATGGATAGTGTGTTCTTACCAGTGGGCTTCTGTCACAGCCAGTACAGCGCCGGGTCAGCTGTTTGTGTTCTGTCAAGCTTCCAACATGACTGTCCTGGTGGGCTGTGTGTGAGGTGTTTAAAAACAAAAGAAGAGGGTGGGGAATGTCCGGTTGTCCTGTGGAGTGGACAGTTCCTGGCTTAATCTGTACAGGACCTCTGGCTTTAAATGAACAGGGGCATTGCTGCTAGATGCACATCTTTCCTCCCATGTTGCAATTTAAGTGCGGCCACGTTTCCCCGTGCTCTGCGGGGTTATGAACCAGGGGAATGCAGCACGCTGAGAACAATGTGGCTGTCAGGAATTCAGCATAACACATCTGGTGAAACAAGAGGGATCTGACTCTTGGTCGTCACACGCGAATGTACTGCAGAGTGTTGCCCCTCCATTGGATTTGTGTAGTCAGCAATATTTGCTTTATACTGCTAGGTTGCTTGGCAAGGAGAATATTGGATTTTCCTTTGAATAATCCGGCATGGATCCTCACTTCTTAGTGTCCTTTAACTGTTTGAATACCCTTTCTAGTTGCTTATCTGTCTAGTTAACAGTGTTCTTGTGCAGAGCATTATTCTGACCCACCTATTTGGACGGGCAGGTCTCAATCAAATTTGACAATTTTGAGCTTTAACTGGTTTTACTTAGCACTGCAGCCATAAAGGGAGGGCAGCTGCTCAGTGAAGAAAGCCTCTGTCCAGGACTGAGCTTGTTCCCACTTCCTCTGGAGCATTAGGGTAAAGTCACATGAAAGGACAGTCTGTCTGAGGGCTCGGGTGTCTGATCTCTGGCACTTCTCATCCGTTGCCAGTAGCCTTGAATCTGCACCGAATCGCTCTTGTTTGAGCTGTCTTCTCCCATAAACACCCTCTTGCTTAGTGTCGCTGGTCAATGCGGAAATAACGAGAAAGGGGGTGAGTAAAGCAAACATGCACCAGCCTTCTCCGCTGTTAGGTGTGGCAGGTGGCTGAGCAAATGCTGTCCATGCAGAGCGCATGCCGTCTCTAGGAGGCACTGCTCTTTGTGCTGGAACAGCGCCTGACACATGGAAGTGGTGTTTCCTTTCTGAACCACGTCACCTGTCGGTTTAAGCTGTGTCTCAGTCTGTTTATGATGTGCCCAGCAGTCGCTGGGGTCAGACTTGCTCTCTTGCGCGCAAAGAGCCCTGGTTCAGCCTGAGTGCTCTGTGAGACCATCCAAGCTGGCATGGGACCTCAGGAGGCTATCACTAGGGGCAGAAACTCTGCGTCAGAGAGGCTCCTGCGATGCTCAGCTCATCTAATGAAACCCTAATTATCCTGGTGCCAGTGCGTGGGGAAGTGATTTATTGACAATTCCCCCGGGTTGTGTTCCTGCCATCACACCGATCAGACCCCTTCTGAGCAGAGACCTTGCGTCTGTGATGCCTGCACACCACTGGCATTCTCTAAAGCCTGGTTCCCAAACTGGGGGGCGTGTGAAGAAATTCCAGGGGGGGCGTGAGGCGACCCAGCCACTCCCCCCGGTCAATCCCACCCCAAGTTTTGCTGCTATTTTTTCGGGGGGAGGGGGGACGTGAGGGTTTCTCAAAAATCAGAAAGGGGGGCCTGGTGCCAAAAAGTTTGGGAACTGCTGATCTAAAGCAAATACATTTCCTATTCTCTCCTCCCCCGTATCCGTTCAGGGCTTGCAGTCCCCTGGACAAGAGGTGAAGCAGCCGCTTGCCCAAGCCCCAGCGTGGCTTCGGCGTCTCTGTGGACAGCTGCTCTCGGAGAGGCTGATAAGACCCAATGGGGTTCAGGCTGTTGTTCGGGGCATCGTGGAGGGAGCAGGAAGTAAGTTGCTCAGACACTGTCATCTCTCTTGCGCAGATGATGAATGAAATGGGTCTTCCAGAGTGGGTCGGAGATCTTCCCATCGCATGAAAGAAGCTGGAGAAGCATTATGGAGAGAGATCTTTATTGCTGATCTTTTAATTGGCGCCTATTTCTGCCAAGGGCTCTGATGCCTGGGAACGGTGCTCTGAGTTATGAATGATAATCGTCCTGGGAGGGGAGTGGGATCCGTTCCACACCCGCTAGAGTTGGGGGTCCTGAGGCCTGATGCTGCCCTCTCTGGCCAGTTAGCTCAAGGGGGTTTTCTCCAAGCCTAGGTGAACGTGATCTCTGGCACTCGACTGCCGTAGCCTGCATCCCCAGGACCCGCCAGGGCCGCCGGAGTTTTGTGCTATGGCTCTCGGAGGGGGGCTAGCTCACCCCAATGCTTGGCTGTAATGCTTATGAGTGGGAGTTGATGGCTGGAGTCTGAGACCTTTAATAAACCGTTGGTCCCTTGCTCCAAGCAGCAGGGCTGGCCTCTGAAAGACACCTGGGCTGAGGAGATTGTTAGAAACAAAAATCCGACTTTTAGCCATGGCTTCAGAAGAGAATGGAGGGGTGCTCGCAATGCCAGAGTCTGACTTGTCTGTGCTCCGCTCTCCTTCCCTTGCAGCTGGGGCAGCTGGCGGCGGCAGTGCTGAAGCAGCAGCGGCCGACTGGAGAAAGTGTGACCTAGTTGCTAGGATCCTGTCCTCCTGTCCTCAGCAGTCTCTGTCCCTGGAGGATTACTACCGACAGGTGTGCCCACAGGTATGCCCTTCCCTGCCCTTTTCCCCAGAGCATGTCTGCAGTGCCACAAGGAGGGGACTGGGTGCATAGAATTCTCTCCCCTCCCTAGCTTGAGGTCGTGCGTGGCTTGGCTCTGCTGGGAGAACGCACTGGGCCGAACTGGAGACTCCGTAAACAGGAGAAATTGCCAAGAACGAGGAGTCGTGCGGCACCTGGAAGATTAACACGCTTATTTGGGTGTAAACTTGCGTGGTCTGGAACCCGCCTCGTCAAAAGTCTCCACTCTGTGAATCTGATATAGTGGGCTCCAGCCTGCGAAAGCTTCTGCCCAAATGAACGTGTTAGTCCTGTGGCATCGTCAGAGCTCCTCTCCTCGTTGCTTTCACTGACACACACTCACACAGCCACCCCGAGCCGTCTCACCCTGCTCCGTGTGCACGCCATGGAGCTCCACTTCCCCTTCCTGGGAGTTTGGCTGCAGTGGTCACTTCAATAACCGGAATAACAGGAGAACGTGAGCTTTAGCTTCACCGGTCAGGGCCTTTTCTGGATAAGCCCCTTGTTCCCTGTGGCCTAGAGACGCTCCAAGGTACGGCCCCCTTACAGCCTGGGTGGAGCGGAGATCCACCTGCTAGCAGGATAGTAATAGAGATGCAGCCGTGTTAGTCTAGTCTAGCTGACACAAAAGACAGGACTATGCAGCACTTTAAAGACTTACAAGATGGTTTATTATGTGATGAGCTTTCGTGGGCCAGACCCACTTCCTCAGATCAAATTGTGGAAGAAAATTGGCACGACCATATGTACCAAAGGGATACAATCAAAAAAAGTGAACACATATAAAAAGGACAAATCAAATTTCAGAACAGAGGGGAGTGGGAAGGGAGGACAAATCAAATTTCAGAACAGAGAGGGGTGGGGAGGGAGGTTAATGTCAGGAGTGAGCAGTAATGACCGTGTCTCTTGTGTGCAGTTCTCATGCTGACCATCAGAGGAGCCCGACACTCCAGTGTAGGGGACCTGTGACTGTTACAGGCTCTTTCTGAACTAGACTTATAGGCTACGTCTACACTGCAGAGCTATCTTGGGTACCAGAAGTATCCTGAAATAGCTATTCCGCGTCTCTGGAAGCAGCCCGTTATTCCATGAGGGTTAAAGGGAATTTTTGAATAACAAGTTATTTTGAAGATTGGTGCTATGTAGAGAGCGCCAAATTTTGAAATAAGCTATTTCGAAATACACTCAAAATCAACTAAGCAATTTGCATAGCTTATTCCGAGCTAAGGGTGCTGTGTAGACGCACCCATAGCCAAGTCAAACAAATTCCTTTACTCTTCTACTGTGGCCTCCTAACCACTTTCCTTGCTGCTGGCTGTACATGGACCCTTGTGTTTCCCTGATGACGTCTTCAGCATGAGTGTTTAAGCTGGCCAAACTGCTGCTCCTTTTGTGACTCTCATGCTCTTCTGTAGCTTCTTTCATTTAAGGATCTCAGATCACATTGTAAACGTGAAATAAGCCTTAAACAAGCTGTGAGGGAAACTGACGTGCAGAGCGCTAGGGACTTATCCAAGCCCGTGCACTTGGGAAGTAGAGTCTGGTTGAGATCCCTGGAGTCCTGTGCCTTTTCACTAGGAAACACTGCCCAAGCTACGGGGAGGCCCTCGAATGTAAGAAAAACTGCCCCATGCAGCTCTTGCCCCCAGAATTGCTGCAGGTGTCTCTGTTCTCTCAGAAAAACTCTTATTGAAGATTTCCCCTCCCCCCCGCACCTTTCACTGCTGCACACACTGGGGGGAGCGCTGCCTTCTCCCGATTCGGAGCTGGGAGATGTCTCCTCATGCGTGACGCTCGATTGGAACAAAGGGAACAGGGCACCTCCGGCTCATCCGTCAGCTGGAAGTGAGCTGCTCTCTGTTCCCTGACCCGGGCTGTGTGTGTCATTTCCATTCCAGATTCTAGACCTGTTGCATATTCAGGATAAGTTGACGGCTCGCCAGTTCCAGAGAGTTGCCACCACTGCCCTTCTCACTATGGCCAGCGAACACCCTCAGCTGGCAGCGAAATACCTGCTGCAGCCTCTGCTAGCGCCACTTCTGCAGTGCTTGGATATGGCAGGGGGA